TCGGTTTCCATCCATTATTCCTTGTCTGCAGTGGTGAAATTCATTTTTTTTTTTACTACTGGTTCTGTGGGCGTGGCTTGGTGGGCGTGGCAGGGGAAGGATACTGCAAAATCTCCATTCCCTCCCCACTCCTGGGGGAAGGATATTGCAAAATCCCCATTCCTTCCCCACTCCTGGAGGAAGGATATTGCAAAACCTCCATTCTCACCTCACTCTGGGGCCAGCCAGAGGTGGTATTTGCCAGTTCTCTGAACTACTCAAAATTTCCGCTACCAGTTCTCCAGAATCTGTCAGAACCTCCTGGATTTCACCCCTGAAACAAGATCAAGGCAGCATTCTTGGGCAGAGGGTTGGACTAGATGACCTACAAGGTCCCTTCCAACTCTGTTAATCTGTATTTTTATCTGTTAATCTGTATCTGATGCAGTGTTTAGGAGGTTGGGCTTGGGAGATAGAGATCCTGGTTCAAATCTGCCCTCAGCCACCAAAAGCTGAGGTTAATTTTGAATCAGTAAATTCAGCCCAACCTGTCTCACCATGTGAATTGCTCAGAAGAAAAGGTCTTAAATTCAAAACAGACCATTTCCACTGCTGTTTTGGGTTCAGGAGACTTCGGTTTGAGGCCAAGTCATCACCTGCCATGCTGGAATTGAAAAGAATAGCCCCTTCCAATATCAGACATTGGAAGGGGATGCAAATCATTATGATGTTAAAAGACTTTGTAAACTTTTAATAGGTGCAAAGAAAAAAAAAAACAGGAAAATCCCTAAAGGATAAGCAGGAGATAAAGCTAACAGATGGAGTTTTATTTAAAATTGAGAGGCACAACTTGAGATGAAGGACATACTGAGCCTTGAGTGGAATACTAATAAGAGTGTCTCAGTGTCTCAGTCAAATTGGGACCAAAAAAAAAAAAAGGGTTAATTCATTTAAACATCAATTCATTAAAATCAACTGACCAATTCTGGATGTGGCAGCGCCTGGCTGACTTTGAGCTTGGAAGCTAAGCAGGGCTATACCTGGTCAATCTTTGGATGGGAGAAGGCCAGAACAAACTATTTCTGTAAAAAAAATTTTTGCCTAGTAAATGGCATGTATGGACCCAGACGTGAAGTCATCGGATTCAAGAGCACTTTGCTTTCCTATACAGTGTAGTGGTTAAGGCACCAGTCTAGAAAGCAGGAGAGTGTGAGTTCTAGTCTCAACCACAGGTACAAAGCCATCTGGGTGAGCTTGGGCCAGCCCCTTTCTCTCAACCCTCGGAAGGAAGCAATGGCAAACCACTTCTGAAAAACCTTTCGCCAAGAAAACTACAAAGACTTGTCGAGGCAGTTGCCAAGAGCCAACAGACAAACAGACACGGACATACACACAAATAACACACACACACACACACACACACACACACACACAAATGTTCAATAGCAAACTGAACAATTCCCACCCCCCTTCATCCCCCACAATTTTAAATATCCCAAATACAGCAGCAACTTTTAGAAATGTGTTAGATCATACAGCCCTGGGCGAGAGTATTTTTCTTTGTAAAATCAGATTATAGAAAATTGGCAAACATTTTAAGATATTCTATAAGCAGAGATTCTTTTTAGATTAGATTAACAGAGTTGAAAGGAACCTTGTTAGGTCATCTAGTCCAACCCCTGGCCCAAGCAGGAGACCCTACACCATTTCTGACAAATGGAAGTCCAGTCTCTTCTTGAAAGCTTCCAGGGATGGAGCTCCCACAACTTCTGAAGGCAACTTCTGTTCCATGGGTTGATTGTTCTCGCTGTCAGAAAATTTCTCCTTATTTCTAGATTGAATCTCTCCTTGGTCAGTTTCCATCCATTATTCCTTGTCTGGCCTTCAGGTGCTTTGGAAAACAGCTTGACCCCCTTCCTCCTCTCTGTGGCAGCCCCTCAGATATTGGAAGACTGCTATCCTGTCTCCCCTGGTCCTTCTCTTCACTAGACTAGCCATGCCCAGTTCCTGCAACCGTTCATCGTATGTTTTATTTTCCAGTCCCCTAATCATTTTTGTTGCTCTTCTCTGCACTTTTTCTAGAGTCTCAACTCAATCTTTTCTTTTTTTTTTTAAGAAATAAGGAACCATCTCTATGGCTTTCGTTTGAGACTCGCACTGTGTGAGAACTGTGGTAGTCTTCTCATGAGAAGGATGCACATTTTGAATATCTATTGAACCAAAATGTGATTATATGCTATAGGTGCAAACATTTGTTTATTGTTTTTATTCATATAAACTGCTGATTTCTATGAAAGTGTGCATCCTGGGTGGTTTGTGCTACTTCTAAAAAGTTTGTCAAACTTTTCCTGATGCTGGCAGCATATCTCATCTTTAAACTACTATGTTCAGTGAGGACTGATTTATTCCCGGAGAAAAGCAATCTCCTTTAACCGGAGAAAAAAAAAATAATGATTACATGTATTCTGGGACTTACCCATTAGCAATTAACCAAAAAAAAAAAAAAAGAAGACACAAAGAACCAGGCTAATAGAATAAAGGAGCAAAATCCATGCATGGTCCCTGTTCTTTCTCCCCCCCCACTTTTTTTTTAAAATGTATGTGGTCACATTTTTTCTTTTTGGGCAAAGCATATTTCTAATTGGCCAAGGCTAAAGTTTAGGGGTTTGGCATCAGGCAGAAAATACAAGCATTCAGGATTAATGAAGGGTTTTTGAAAACGTCGATTCCATGAAGAAATGACACATTCTCTTTTTAAAACGAAACCACATTGAATATTTTTTTTAAAAAAAAAACAGAGTTCTGTGCATTCATTCAAAAAGAAAGTAGGCCTTTAGCCATTCTAAGCTGATCTGTTGGATTTTAAAAAAGAAAAAGAAAAAACATCAACCTCTAGTCACTCTAGACCTTGTAAGAAGTCACCGGGGACTTAGGATCAACGTTTCACAGCCAGAAACATTTTTTTTTATAAAAAAAGCAGGATCTAAGGCCACTGTTCTCCCCCAAGTTCTTAATGCTTTCATTCATCATTTGTATATGGTTTTTTTTTTACATTTGCCAAATATCCCATCTTTCCAGACAGCTTACAGCCCGAAGTAAGATCAAAGAACGGCATTCTAAGAACAAACCTCCAAATATTACAGGTTAGTAGCATAAAGGATAACAACTCTTGGCTTGCAGATGTAAATCTATAATTTCACAATTTTTGGACTACCGAGCCTTAGTCTCTAAGTAATGAATAGCCAAGAAAAATGAAATAACGACCAAGCACTTTGACACTGAATTGGGAAGATTATTTAGACATAGAAGAACAGAGTCGGAAGGGACCTTAGAGGTCTTCCAGTCCAACCCCCTGCTTAGGCAGGAAACCCTATACCACTTCAGACAAATGGTTATCCAATCTCTTCTTAAAAACTTCCAGTGTTGGAGCATTTACAACTTCTGGAGGCAAATTGTTCCAATGAAATCCTCATTTGTTAATAATGGCTTCCCCTAGATGATCATATATTGCTGTCTATATTCACACAAACTCCTTGACCTAACTGGTGGATGAACCAGCTATCTTTTAGGTTCCAACGACGTAACAAACCATAAACGAAAAAGATGGTTTGCAGAACAAATTAAACCAAAAGCGCATAGAAAAACCAAAATGAACATTACTAAATCTTAATATGATGTCCTAGTTCAGCTCCGCAGTTTCTACTTGACCTGAATAAGCTTGTTATGCCAAGGCAGTCATCATTTCGTAGTCTGACATACCTTATAAGGTTGTTGTAATAAAGGAAAAGGGGAAAAAAAATCTATTTGGGCATTTGAGATCCTTGAAGACGAAAACGATGTAGTTGTGTCATTAATAAGCTTAGTCATTAGTGCTACTTTGACCGCTTAGTTCATGAATAATGCAAGTAGCTATCATACTGACAAAGCCATTTTTTTTCAAAATGCAGATGTGCCTGCATCCGAGCTGCATATTTGCAAACTTGTTAACTTCTTTACTCCAATAAACCCTTATCTTCTCTCGAGAGATCTCATTCTGAAGCACCCATTGACTTTAGCCACATGCCTCGCTCCTTCTCTGCTTTCCCACTTTGCAAACATACATTACGCTAAGCCGTAATGTTTGATGGACCGTGAACTCAGCTGCTGTGGTTTGTAAACTGGGGTTTCATGCATTGTGTGAAGCCGATGAATTGGTCATTCTGTAAACTGCAGTTAAAGCAATTAGTGCTTAGTGTGATCCTAGTCTAAATGTAGATTGTTTGGGAAAGGACCCATGTATGGTGCTTCTGTAAATTGGCTACATGCCAAGTAGATTAACAGAGCAGGAGAAATGGTGATATAATAATAACAACAAGAATCTGCAATAACCAGCATAACTTTCTAGTGGATTGGTCTTAGACCTGGACCAAATCAGTTTGCTGCTAAAGACACCCACACACCCCAATACTCTCTTAGCTCAATTTAATGGGACTTCACTTCTAACCCCTCCCTCATAAAGCAATATCATCGAATTATCCATTTCTTCCCGTCTACAGAGCCATTCCCATTACTCCCAAAACAGAATCGAAGAAAGAAGTTGGATGTAAGTTTTGTTCCTTTCCTTGGTTGCCTGGCAACAATAAGCATCCATCTACCCAACCATCCATCATGAACAAACTTTTTCTGTTGCGGCAGCCGAATGCTCATGGATGCCATGGAATTGGGACAGTTGGCAAAGAGAATAATTGCCACCCCACCCCCTTCAAGGTAGGCATTAAAAGACATTCTGCATGGTTAGATGGAGGAGGATAAGGTTTCCTCTGTTTAATCCAGCATCCTTTTCTTTTTTTTTTTTAAGTGGAGCAATTTTACCAAAGTAAAGCATCCATATGACCTGAAGAGCTTCACTCCTGCTTGTATGATCCCAATGCTGTCTAGCAGAGAAAAACAATGCACCCAAATCCCCACGATCACTGCAAAAACTCTTATCATGCATACACGCCTTAAAATGTAAAAAGCAGGAAGAACAGGTGACATCTTACCTTTCACAATTCAGTGCTTCGAGAAGTTAAGTCCCATACGCCCAACGGAAGGCTAGAAGTCTCGTTGTTGTGTCCGAGGGAGTTCAGGAAGACAGGATAACTTCTGGCCAGCCCTGCTGAGTCTTCTTCACAGCCCCCAGATGTCCTTTGCTTTTCTCTGGGGGTCACCTTCTTCTTGATTTATCCCCCTAACGCCCCCTCCCCCCAAAAAACACCACCCCGAAGTTCCTGGTATTGGTGTGTCAAATTTTCAGTTGGAAAGCAGCAAAAACAGCAGCAGGGTTAATATTAGAAGGAAAGTCGAAATGAATGAAGAAAGAAGGGAGAGAGAGAGAGAGAAGTAACAGTCCACGTTGAGCTGCAACCAGCTGCAGAGAGAGTTTGTGACTCCTCCTGTTCTTCTTTAGATACCTCTTGCTATAGTTGTACTAAAAGGGATTGAACCGTCCTATGAAACTTTGAATCAGGTAGGCAAAGAGCCAGGAAAAATAAGACATGGGCTGGAGTGGCAGGAGTGGGGTGGGTGGGGGTGGATAGGAGGGAAGGAGGGAGGGAGGCATGAATAGGAGAAAAATTAGGAGCCAAACCTCTGGGAGGAAGGAAGAAACAGGGAAAGGAAAGAAAGCTCTTGGGCATAAATGAAGGATTCCACCCCCTCAAAAAACGGGATCCTCTAGAGGGAAAACCAGCCAGATTGTACATCGCAAATGGCTGAAAAGGAAGGTGCGAGCCAAGGAATAAGACTCAGAGGACCACGACTTAATTTAAAAGGAAAAAGAAAAAGCAGCTCCATCTCTAACCTCAATCTCTGAGCAAGAAGGGATGAGTGAAAAAAAAAAAGAGAGAGAGTGTCTGCAATGCAGTCGATATTACTGCAAGCTGGCTATAAGCTTTTGAAATAAATATTCAGAGCATCCTACATAGGAGGTGGCAGGCTCAAATCAGGCAAGCTAATACAATCCTGGGTTGTATCCACGGAGGGATAGAATCAAAATCACGCGAAGTGTTCGTACCGCTTGATAAAGGCTCGGGAAGGCCATAGCAGCTGGAATAACTGCATCCAGTTTCGGCCACCGCATTGCAAAAAAGAGGTTGAGACTTTGGAAAAAGTGCACAGAGAAGAGCAACTGGGAGGATTAAAGGCCTGGGGACTAAAACATAGGAAGAACGGTTGCAGGAATTGGGTTTGGCTAGTCTAGAGAAAAGAAGGAATAGGGGGGGAAACAGGATAGCAGTCTTCCAGTATTTGAAGGGCTGCCCCAAAGAAGAGGAGGTCATCTTATCTTCCAAAGCACCAGAAGGCAAGACAAAAAACAATGGAGAGAAGCAACTGGCTAGGTGGCTCAGTAGCTAAGACGCTGAGCTTCTCGATCAGAAAGGTCAGCAGTTCGGCAGTTCGAATCCCTAGTAGAGGTCTCTACTACAGTGAGAACAATTAACCAGTGGAATAGCTTGCCTTCAGAAATTGTAGGTGCTTCATCATCAGAGTCTTTTAAGATATGATTGGATAGCCACTGGTCTGAAATGGTACAGGGTCTCCGGCTCGAGCAAGGGGTTGGACTAGAAGACCTTCAAGGTCCCTTCCAACTCTATTCTGATGGATTAATTGATTGAAGATAGACTAAAGGAAAGTTAGCAGAATTTCAGATCTTTTGGTTGGCTTCGGAATCTGCTGATGTGGATAAGTGGCATCACTTCTAAGAAACAATTTCTCCCCCCAAAAGGATGCCATATTGGATTCTGATTAGGCATTCTGTAATGTGCACATACGAAAGCATGCAAGCATAGAAATAATGTTACGAAGGAACACAACTGCAATATATCTCTTTAAACTAGGAACGTTTGTGAGTTTGTAACCTGTGCAGTGGCTGTGCATTTAGCCACCAGTATTAATGCTGAACCATAAGGAAGCCTGAGCGCCAAAGAATTGAGGCCTTTGAACTCTGGTGCTGGAGAAGACTCCTGCGAGTCCCTTGGACTGCAAGGCGATCCAACCGGTCAGTCCTAGAGGAGGTCAACCCTGACTGCTCTTTAGAAGGCCAGATCCTGAAGAGGAAACTCAAATACTTTGGCCACCTAATGAGAAGGAAGGACTCACTGGAGAAGAGCCTAATGCTGGGAACGATTGAGGGCAAAAGAAGAAGGGGCCGACAGAGAACAAGGTGGCTGGATGGAGTCACAGAAGCAGTCAGTGTGAGCTTAAATGTACTCTGGGGGATGGTAGAGGACAGGAAGGCCTGGAGGAACGTTGTCCATGGGGTTGTGATGGGTCGGACATGACTTCGCAACTAACTAACAACAACAAAATTAATGCTGAAGGCAACTTTAAGACTAAAGGCTTGTCAAGTCTAGCATCTTGTCACACATGCACATATATATGCCGGCACGCACGCACACACACACAGAGTGGCCCAGGAGGTTATAAGCATTGACAGGAAGATAACAGTCTTCACTTCTGCTCTCTCTAAGATGTTATTTAAGGGATGCTATTTGTGATTTAAAAATTGTATGCAGGCAACAAAGCAAGTATCCATGCTTGCGTGAGACACCTTCAGTATATCCCGTTTTCTTTCAAAACCTTCTGAACTGGTGGCCAATGCCATCTTAGAATACTATGGTTTAACTACATGCTATGGTGTTGGATCAACACTTAGATTAGATCCAATAAAGATACTTCAGAGTGTGCATGGGGGGAGGGGGGAGAGAACACCAAATGTAAATATCCTTCTCCAACTCTTTAAAGCCATGGGACACTGCAATGGTCAGTAGTTCAATGCTGTCATAAATTTGAATGGTTGCTGGACAATCGCCAATCATTAAATGAGGACCACATATGAGAAGGAAAGGAAAGGGAAGGGAAGGGAAGGGAAGGGAAGGGAAGGGAAGGGAAGAGAAGAGAAGAGAAGAGAAGAGAAGAGAAGAGAAGAGAAGAGAAAGAGAGAGAAGAGAAGAGAAGAGAAGAGAAGGAAGCAGGGGAGGGGAGAAGAGAAAAGAAGAGGGAGTGGAAGGGAAGGGAGAAGGGGAGGAGAGGAGAAGAGTAGAGAAGAGAGCAGGGGAGGGGAGGGGAGGGGAAGAGAAGGGAAAGGAAGGGAATGGTAGAGAGGGGAGCAGGGAGAAGAGAAGAGAAGAGAAGAGAAGAGAAGAGAAGAGAAGAGAAGAGAAGAGAAGAGAAGAGAAAGAAGAGAAGAGAAGAGAAGAGAAGAGAAGAGAAGAGAAGAGAAGAGTTCTGGGTATTGGTTCCATGTCAGGGCCATCCACACCATATGAAGCATGTTAAAAGGGGTGGGGCTCTATACATTTGCAGCCATCATCTTGACTTCTTTTTTCATTCCCTCGCAGACAATCCTGCCTACCCACTCGTTTGCTTCAGCTCACCTGTCGCATCACCCCAACAGTCACCTCTTTCGTAATTCTCTCTTAACAGGAAAATGGTAAGCAGATCTGTCCTTCTATCACGCTATAAGAGGAAGTCATCCGATGAGACCCCAAACCAGTGGTGGATTCCTCCCGGTTTGGCCAAGCCGGTAGTGGTGATGATGTGACATCACCGAACCGGTTCTCTTTTTCTGGGCCTCCCCATGTTATTCCTACCTTTATTCCTTCTTTTTTAGCCCAGCTGATAGGTGCGGCAGAGTGGATTGCTGTATCTCAGCTGGGCAGATACCTAACGTGCTTGTGCGGAGTGCAAGTTTGGCGCACGTGCGAGCGAAGCGAAGAGAACTGGTAGTAATGCTGATTGTTTTATGGTTTGGGGCAGTGGTGGGTTCCAATCAGAAAAACACATTCTGAAAAAGGACAGGAACGGAGGAGGAAAGAATCCAGAATCCTGTTTCACAAGGAAATAAAAAAAATAATTTGGAAAAGTCTAATAGGTTCATAACAAATCCTTGTAACCTTTATGGAATTTTCCATGTCAGTTTTCCGAAGTGATGCCAACTTGGCTTTAGGAAGAGTGACAAAGTCTCTAAATGATTCTTAGTTCTGAAGCTTATCTGGAATTTTACAGGAGTCGAGGTTCATTTTTTGGGGGGGGGGGAACTGTTAAAACTAACACAGAGATGTTGATGATGCAATGAAAACGGGGAGAGCAGAGGGAGAACATTTATCTTCCTTCCTAAGCGGTGAAGTTTTGAGAAAGGTGTTTTTTTTTTCTCTTTTGATTTTTTTGGGTGGATGAATTCCGTAGATGTGAATTGTGGAGGGAGGGAGGGGCGGGGAGATATGCTAAAGAGTGGCGTGAAGTTTTCTCTGTGGCTGATGACTGGATGCTTAGCTCTGCCTGGTTCAGGGTCAACACGCTTCCTAAATATTAGAGTCCCTTGGGCAGAAATGGGCAGGAATGAGCAACCTGACACCCGTTTCCCCTATTTCTTCTGACTCCAGGACCCTCCAGCATGGTGCCATTGAAAATTAGCTCTCGGCAGCACAATTTTGGTCTTGTTTTCATTCAGTCAAAAATTGTATAGCTGCTTTGTTTCATTTTCCTCTCCCTGAAATGGGAAAAGTGGGTGGGAATAGTTTATTCTTACCTATTCTGACAACCTCTTGAGGTCACCACCGATAGTTTTTGATGCTCACTTATGTTAGACCTCATCTTCATCTTCGTTATTTGTAGTGCACTGAAGGAAAAGGATGGCCCAGGGAAAAACCAGATTGCTATCTCCATGCATCATTCATACGTAGCAATGGTGGGTTTCTACTGGTTCACATCGGTTCGGTAGTGGCGGCGGTGGGAAGTTCCGTGTCAGGTTTCGATGTCATCTCAAATAAATTGCACTCCCAAACAATTAATCTTTGCTGAAATATTCCATTTATTGAATACGACAGATCTGGTCCCGACTTCGTCATAGTCGATACTAACCTCTGACCCCCAAACCCTTCCCTTTCCGTTCCCCAATTCTCATCTCATTGGCCATCTTCCAAGTCAGTCTCCCCAGCTTCTGACCTCAGCCCACAGGAATGTCCCCCTCCCATCTCATCTCCTAGGGGATATTATCTACAGAGAAAATAAGTAGGTGAAAAGTCAAGCCTCGTCTCCTCCTTTTTATGGCAGCATCAGAATGCTGACATCCGGCCCCACTCCCTTCATTTTTCCAGGGAGGCCTGTTTCAAGAAAAAAAACAAATTAAGTACTGTTACCCCGTCCGAGGGTGTGTCCCACCCCCCTCCCGCCTTGCCCGGGTGATCTGCATGGAATTTGGCTATAAGGCGCCCACCTGCCTAGACATCATCACGGATGCTCTACGCATGCACAGAAGATTCTCTGCATGCACAGAAGCGGTCACAGTTCCGAACCGGTAGCAAAGGTAAGTGAAACCCACTACTGATACATAGGCATCCATGTAAAGATCCAAAACCAGCACTCAGCCGATCAAT